AGGGACAAACCCTCCTCTCACCAGGCCTACACGTCCCCCTCCCAGACTGCCCACCCCTGCCCTCCTCCTGCATGGCTGGCGCCTGACGTCAGGCAGCAGATGCATCCTGTGCCCAGCAGGCTGGAGAGGGGGTGGCACTGGCAGGAGCCTGGAAATATCACGGCTGCTGACGGTGCTGGTTATTCTTAGCACCCTGTGGAGGCGCAGAGGGGCTCTGCCTCGCAGCATGGCCAGGAAGCAGCAGGCTCCCCTGGAGCAGATGGCCCAGCTACATAAACTGGCTCCCACCAAGGCACGCATAGGGAAGGGACTGGGAAGGTGGCACAGCTAGACTGTTCCCAGAGTCCTACACCCTCCCACGGTGCTGATCCAACTGGAGTAGGAATCCACAAGGAGAGCGAGTCACTCTGGAGTCACCTCGACATCAGGGTGGGGTGCAGTCTCCTCTCCTGTGTCCCTCTGAAGAGGCCTGTCCCAAAGGTGTGCATCGGGAATGTGACCTGAGGCTGTGGGATCTGGACAGACCCTGCAGCTTCCCCGGCTCAGCATCTCCCTGGTGGGAGCACATGGCTTCAGTCCCGCTGCAAAGAGAGCTGGGACCAGCTCGGCTGCTGACTGGCACAGAGCTGGCTAACTGTGGGACCCTGCGTGGCCCAGCGCTGCTGCAACAGCTCGGGTCCCAGGTGGCTGGAGTGAAAGGGACTGGCTGAGAGGAGGGGCTGGAGCAGAGCCTGGTGGGTCAGCATAGGCAAAAGCAAACTCTGCATTTCACCCTGTGCCCTCCTTTGCAGCCCACCTTGCACCCTAGGGGGCTGTAGGAGAAGCAGGAGCAGGGCTTGGGTACCTGCACTGGCCGGATCTTGCCTGAGCTGGGAGCAGGACACCCCACACCTACAGTCAGGGGCGATTAATCCCATTTAGAGCCGAGAGAGAGCTGCAGAGCCTGTCCCACCATACGACTCCAGGATTTGGGGCTTTAGGGAGCCCACTGTGTCTTGCAAGACTAGTGGTGAAACACAGCAGCAGGAACGTGACAGCCCTCAACACAGGAGCTGGGGCTTGTGCCGGTTCCAGACGAGAAACAAGGAGCTGACTGCTGGGCTGCACTGGGAATAGTGCTGGTGTAGGACAGTCCTTCCTGCGGCAAGCATGCTCGTCAGAGGGCTGACAGGAGCACAACACGGCAGCTCCCAGAGTAGCTCAAGAGGGTTGCAGGCCAGTAACCTGTCTGGGAGCTGAAGGGCAGAAGGGGCCCTCAGGAGCCAGCAATCTGCATCCCTGGGCTCCTTCCACAAGGAGGGAGATGATCAGGCCTGCTGAAAATAAAGGCAACCCTGAAGTGGGCTGGGAAAGGCTGTCTGGAACGCAGCCATGCAAATGAACCGTGGCCATGGGTGTCTCCGGAAAGTGCAGGGCTCTGCATCCATGCCCAGCTTGGCAGATGTTCTTGGGCAGGGCACACACCTCCTGAGATGGGCAAGATCCTCTAGGCCTCCCCAGGGCACACTGGAGGGGGCAGAGCCCTGGGCAAGCCTGAGTGGCACAAAGGGGTAGCAGCCCCGCGTGTAGGAACGGGGAGATGTCCTACTCCTTGTGCCCACGGGATGGCAGCAGCCTCCCACAGCTCCTGCAGGGCACCCACCCCACATCCCTGCCCCAGAGAGAGCCAGGTGTGGGGCACAGCTCTGGCTAGGGCAAAAACTCTCTGGAGCACCAGGTAGCGACTGACTCGCACGGCTTCTCCTGCCCCATTTTACAGGGACTGTTTTCTACTTGGAGGGATGGAAGAGAAGAGATCCCAGTGCCCTCCTGCTCCTAAGGGCCCCATGGCACCAGCTGTAGTCAGGCTTGCTGGGGCAAGGCCACCCAGGAACCCTCTTGCCAGCTCCAGCACAGCCCCGATGACAGGCTGTACCGATGCTCCTGGCACGTCCCACACAAAGCACTGCACACCAGCAGGTGTGAAAAAAGGAGAGTATGTGGGTGAGCTCCCAGCACTGGGCAGATCTGGCAATGCTCAGAGACCTCCCTTCCCTCTCCCTGGGTTCAGGCCTGTCAGTGACCCTTGGCAGATCCCCAAGGGCTGAAGAACAGCTCCAGAGTGGTTCCCAGCATTCACTAGGGCCACAGAAAGAGGGGACACCCCTGCAGCAGTCTATGATCACATGTGTTGCTCTTCCTTCAAGCATTCACCTGGCTTCCACATCAGCTTAGGGCCTCATTTCTGCCTTTCCACGTGACATCCTGAAGCCCCCTCTCTCAGTCCAGACCTGCATGCTCTGCCCCTCACCATCTAACTCCACATTCACCCAGATGAAACACACCTCAAATAGCCCTGGGTCACCAAGAGACCCAAGCCACTCCCTGTCACTGCCCTGCCGCTTTCATTATTCACTGACTTATTAGCTACAAGTTTTTATCGCTTCCATGGAAGTTGAGGAGGAAAATGCTGAATGGCCCCAGGTCCAAGACTGCTAACTGTGGGTGGGGCTGGGAAGCTCTTCCTTGGGATCACCTGGACTCTCTCAATATGCTCCTTCTCCACCTGATTCCCATAGGCCATCCTGAAGGGCCAGCTACGCTGCCTGAGCACTTAACAGACACAAAGACCTGGCCTGTGTCCTCCTGTTCCCAAGAAAAGGGGTACGGGCAGGTTTTGCACAGATATTTGAGGGCTCTCCAGCCCTGTGACAGAGCTTTGCAATTTTACGGCATAGCAGGAGCAAACCCAGACCTCTCTGACTGCGTAGCCATGTGAGACAGGCTCACTGCATTCCTCTCATCCCACGTCTAGGTCTTCTGCTAATGCCACCCACTGCCCACGTCACCTCTGCTGGTGGGACTAAATCTTGGCCTACTAACAGCTTTCTGCCACACTGCTGGATTCTCCCCAGGACTGCCAGATTTACAAAAAATTAACTGTGCTGGCCCGAGATCTCCTTCGGCACTTTTACAGCTGTTTATCTGTAGTAGATGTTGTCTTCTGTCTTGCTTGGTTACTAACGGGGTGGAAAGTACTTTCATTCTCATGTGACACAAATGCATCTTCCTCCTTCTTGCCAAATATGGAACAGAAATGTTTATTGAACACTTCTGCCTTTTATTCAGCTGTATTAACTATGCTATTAACATCTCATGCCACTGCTGTTCTACCACCAGGATCTCTGCTGCCCTCCTGTGATTTTCGGTGTTTTTGTCTTGCCAGATGGATTTTGACCTGTTTTATCTTTCCTTATCAATTCTGTGCACTTCAGACCCTCTGCTGTCCTCTGATTGCTGCTTTCTGCAAGCTCTTCTGTCAATCAGTTTGTAATTCCTATGTATAAACTTCCTCTCCTTGCCTTCACTTCCCCTCTTGTTCACAGTCAGCTTTTAAAAACCCTGTCTGCTCTTTCC